CTAATACCCAAGACATAGGTCACAAGCTAAACTAAAACAAAAAAGACCGCAGATCTTAAGTCCCCAAAATTGAAACTCTGATCAGAACTCGAACGACTAATCAGATTTAGCGAGAGCCCATATTTGAACCTGTAGTCAGTTGTATAGTTATGTTTTCGTGATTTTGATTTATTAGTTGGCAAGATTTAACTAATACATAATTTGGAACATACATGGCCAAAAACGTTTTGGAGCTCTTTTCAATAAAAAAATTAAAAAAAGGGGGCCGAGTTCAAAACCGACCCAACGGTTCAAAAAGTACATATATAGAGCCCGGAATTGGCCTGGTTCAAAAAGTACATATATAGAGCCTGGAATCGGCCCGGTTAAACCACAGGCTCGATTAAAGGTGGCCCAAGGTCATGTCTAATTTCAAATCCACTCATCAGTTACAGTCTAATTTACAAAGAACAAAAAAGACAATTATTTGTTGAAATCAATAAGAACCCATTTTTAAATATTAATTGTATCCACCTAACAATGCTCTCTCTTCAATAGTTAAGGTGCTACATTACTAAGGCAATGCTACGAATTTTGAACTAAAACAAATGATAGAGAGAAACAACGCAGTCACCGACTTTTTTACCGTTGGATCAGCGCATACACATACAAACCCACATTGGTGTTGTTGATCCAAATGTAAAAAAACTCCTTCAAATTTTCCAGAAAGCAAAAACAAAAACAAGAAATTCAGCAAGAAGCAAACTAAGTAAAGCAATGTTGATATGATCTTCACCCTCAAGTAGAGAAACTTTTGTTGTGAACATGTAAAATCACAGATGCAGCTGAAACTGTATTTGTGTAAGAAAAAAAAAAAAAAATAACAGGAAATAAGGACACTAGATATTGCAACTTCTAATGTACAGATATAAAACTAAAAAGAGCACGAAAAGAGCATGGTGAAGAATTTTATCTCACTCATGTTGAAAAATCCGTGAAATAAACAATCGAGAAGCACCCCCACATTTATTTAACTCCAAGGGTCGTCCCATCCTTTTGGCCCATCTCGTTTGATGAAATCGATTATGGCTTGTACGGCTTCCCCAACTCTGTTAGAGAGAGAGTGGTTCCCATGTTCGATCTCGGCTTTTTCTGCACCACCCATTGCACTACACAATCTGTCGAGACGCATGGAAAAAAAAATAAAACAAGATTAATTAAAAAAACATACACACACACACACACACACATATATAT